GGTTAAAAAAAAAAAAAGTCTGGTTCTTGGAATTGAGGTATTAATGTTCTTTCCCCATAGGAATACACCCCAAGAATTTCTATTATTTTTTATGAGCATGTGTTTTATGGTACTAAATAGGACTTTCTTTGGTCAAACTGTAGGAGATCTTCCCTGTTTTCCCACCGCTTCTGTCCCCACTGCTACCTTCTGAGGTCTTTTTCCTTACAGCTTTCACACCCAGCCCCCACCACCACCTGCCCAACTGTCCAGGGCCTCCTGGGAATTACCTCCCACTGAGGCTGGCTTCCCTAAATTCCCAAATCAATCATTCCTTGCTTCTTCTGTCTCTGTCCCTTCAGGAGTAAGGGTTTTACTAGGTGAATTCACACTGAAGTTGGTATAAGTGACTAGGGCTACCTTTTGAACCATTCAAGAGTACTTATTTTATTTTATATATTTTTACATCGTTTTTCATTTTTGCACAATGTATGCATTTTCATCTTAGTTATATTCCCCATACAATTCCCACCCCCCCTTATTTTGACCCTAATCCCTCCCTCCCCCCCATCGTGTCTCTGGTTTATAGTTGCTTGTTGATTTTGATTTTTACTTTATTATAATTAGTCTTTTTTCCTGATCCCTTATTTAAGTTTTCTAAAGTCCTGCTTTGAGTGAGACCATTTCTTTCTGGCTTATTTTGCTGAGCATGATCCCTTCCAGCTCCATCCATGTTGCTGCAAAGAGACACCACACCGACTGGGAGACAATTTTTGCACACAACACTAATGATGAAGGACTGATCACAAAAATCTACAAAGAGCTGAAGAGACTCAACAAAAACAAAGTAAATAATGCAGTCCAAAAATGGGCAGAAGAGCTAGAGGAAATGCAAATGGCCAACAGGCATATGAAAAAATGTTCAGTATCACTTGTAATCAGGGAAATGCAAATCAAAACTACAATGAAATACCATCTTACACCAGTGAGAATGGCACATATTAAAAAAACTAGCTACAACAAATGTTGGCGAGGATGTGGAGAAAAAGGAACTCTCCTGTACTGCTGGTGGGAGTGCAAACTGGTCCAACCACTATGGAGAGCTGTGTGGAGATTCCTCAACATGCTAGTGATGGAGCTTCCATGTGATCCAGCAATTCCACTCCTAGGTATTTACCTAAAGGACACAGAAACATTAATTAAAAAGTGCACCAGCACCCCTCTGTTTATAGCAGCACTATTTACAATAGCTAAGCTATGGAAACAACCCAAGTGCCCAAAAATAGATGACTGGATCAAGCAGATGTGTTACATGTACACATCTGGATTGCTATATTACTCAGCAATCAAAAAAGATAAATTCAAGAGCACTTTTACTTCAAGAGAGATGATTATTTATTCCAAAAAATGACTCTCCAATGGTGGAATGTGATACTAAGTTGCTAGTTCTTCCATCATGGGATTGAAAGGGTGTCTCTCAAAACAGCTCTCCAAATCTTTCCATGGTAAGCCATATACACTGCCTTATAAAATGAAATGACATCTTTAGATATATTTTACCTCTACTGCAACTATTAACAGGAAAGAATGGAATCAAATATGGATTTTTTTTTTATAACATGAGCAACATATGCTGTCAAGCTGCTGTCACCTTGGGAAATTGCTTGAAATGCCCAAAATGCAATTTAATGTTTCCTGTGACTTAGTGTAATATACTTATTAATGACCTAGTGAAGTGTGGAAATATTTGCTGATCACACAGAAGTATTTAGGTTCATATGAGCTAAAGAGATTTGTGAGGAATTTAAGATGGTTCTAGTAAACCTGGAAGAGTGAACAGATATGAAGTTTGGTAACATTTTGTGGAGAAGGACAGAAAAATAATAGATATTGAAAGAAATGATTTAAACTCTACATAATTTAAGCAGTACCTATGATTAACTTAAAATTTGTGTTAGTTTTGAAGGAAAAATCTCTGCTATAGGAATCAACTTAATGAAAATATTTCATTAACATTATCTAATCGAGGGCCTCCCCGGTGGCGCAGCGGTTGAGCACTGGGTTGCGAAGCTGCCCGCGGCCTCTGCGTTGCCGGTTCGATCCCCGGCTGCTCCCCGGCCACCGGAGGAGGGTCCCGCATGGCGCGCAGACCTCTCCTGCCGCCCGCTGCTCCCCTCAGCAGTGTACTTCGGTCCTTCTGCCTGCTCTGCTCCCCGCTCTGGCTCTGGTGAATTCTCTCACCCTCCCGCGCTTCTGACTGTACCCAGTGCATGTATAAACAAACAAACAAATAAATAAATAAAACATGCCTCTATTAAAAAAAAAGCACATTAATCGAAAGTGCTGGGGGGAGGTCAAAAGAAAGTATGGTAACTCAGAAAATAGAGGAGAAAATACAGGAAATCGTGCAGTAGGTGGGGTTGGATGACAACCTAACCAGCTCTCTTCACTCAGTTCTGATGTTTTTCTGCAATTACCCCTATCCCAATCTGCGTGTAGAGAAGGCAGCTCTTCCCTAGGCCCCCAAAATGAATAAAGATTGATCTAAACAGGGACTTCTCGAGTATAATCCCCCAGACCAGCAGCAATAGAATCTCCTGACAACATATTAGAAATGCAATTATCAGGTCCCAACCCCAATCTACTACATCAGAAACTGAAGGTGGAGCACAGCGGTCTGTTTTAACAAGACCCAGGGAGATTCCAATTCAAGCTAACATTTGAGAACCACTGCTCTAAATCAGTCATTCCCTTTTGCAAATAATTATATTAAGGTTAAGAATTGACTCCTTGTAGTCCAGTGAGATACAAGTGACAGGGCAGAGCATTCTAAGAAAGGTGATGAAAATTGAAAAAGACATTGCAGGTTTGGGCCATAGTTATGTGAGTATGTGATGGCTGGAGTTGCAATAGCCACTTTGTGACTATGAGCAGGCACGGTTGAGGAGTGCAGAGCAAAAAAAAAAAAAAAAAACTCATGCCTTTGTGTCAGTGGATCAGCCAACATTGACTCCTTTTGCCTCCAGGATGTCCTTGTTATGTGAAGTAGACTCCACTTTTGATCAGGCATGCTATACCTTGCATCTGAAAGTATCTCCCCCACCCCCCCCAAAATCCTCCTTCCTTCTCCATAGTAGTACAGGAGGGGCAAACCTAAATAGGCAAATGCCCAGGGTAGTGAGACAAACATCTGGAAGACAGATGTTACCCCTCTCACCTGTGCACATGAGAGCTCTGTTCCTGAATCTTATAGCAAGTATGTTTTTGAGCCTCATTGCTCTTACATACTGTGTTTTAAAAGAATTTATCTTTCTCTCAGTCATGTGTAAAGCATCTTTAGTAATAGTGTTAGATGTGAGCATAAAAAAAGCCTTCTTACTCAGGAGTCCATACAGTTCACCCAGTTCAAGAGTCTTTGTGACTAAAGGATACATGGGGATGAAAGACCCAGGTGTGGTGATCTTAATCTCAATCTCTGAATGTTAAATTCTAATTTTAAAACATAATGCACTTTTTCTTTTCCCTAAAAACACATTTTGGCTTGACAGCCGTGAATCTACTTAATTCTAATATTGCTATTCATAATATGAATGAAAAGATCATATAGTAGAAGCAAATCTCATCTCCAGGGGACTTTCATGGGAAATAGAATGCCAGGACAGATGACCAGCTGGAGATCTGCACAGAGAGAAGGCAAAGGGTACTTCCTACTAACTGTATTTTGACATCCCAGCAATAGGCATTGCTTGAGCCTGTGAGAACAGTCAGGAGGAAGAGGGCAGAAAGGGAGATGATCAGCGAAATAAATTCATCATTTTCTGTGCACTATCTCAGCTTAACTTTGGACAAGCTTTTCACAATTAAACCCCTCGAATGGCTAACTGCAAAACCAGATGGGTTTGTCATCATGCCCTATAGGTCAGGAAACTTGGGTTTTACTGGACTGACAGCAGGAATTGTTCCAAAATCAACTGTCCTCCACTGAGAATTCCCTTTCAGCTGTCAAATAAGGCTGGCTTCACTGAATGTAGCCTTCTAAGAGTGCAAAAGGGGAGAGAAGATCTCACAGAGACAGAAAGCAGACCTTGCAGGATTTTAGAGCTTAAGACCAATACCTTTCACTGTGCTCATACCATGAATGAAGCTAGCAGCATCTGGATCCCAGATGTTCCAAGTGTTCCCCATGAGAAGAGACTGTCCTAATCTGCTCCAGAGCTCAGGGCAGATCATGAGAGAAGGCACTCCATATACCCAGCCAGGAAAGTGAAGGGGCTGGATCCTAAGCACAGTCAAAAGGCTAGGCTTCTTTATCCAGTTTGGAGGCTTACATTCAAGATTTCTATGTTTTCATTTCTTCCCCTTGGAAAACCAGACTGTTCCTATCTTACGGTGGTGCAGAGAAGATAAAACAGCTCAGGAGATTGGAGAGGCATTTGGTCTTACGGCTTATAAAAGCCTTGTGGCTGAGACATTGTCATATATGGACCAAAATCCATTTCCCATACTCATTTGCAGATAGGAGAGACCATGTGACTGAGTTCTGGTCAATGTAATGCGGGCAGAAGGCAGGCAGAAGTGCATCTCTTCCAGACTTCCCGCACTAAAACCATCTTAGCCACCCCTACAACCTCCCTCTCTCTCCCATCTACTGATTATGTACATAGGGTCCAGAAGACAACACCAAAGCCCTAGGAGATGGTGGCACCAGGAGATGAAAGGAGCCACCTGCCTAGTAGGAATAGCCACATCAGATTTTGCTTGAATGAAAAAGAAAACTCTTATTGTGCTAAGCTATTCTGGAGTTAGTTGCAATATAGCCGTTATCTAATACAATAGAAATTGCAATATAACCCTATCCAACCCAGATTCTGATTATATCCTAGATGAAGCAACTGGAACCCGGGGTGAGGCAAGAGAGGCAGGGATAGCAAATACATTTAGAGAGAAGTCTCACAATGTTCACCTAGCATTGTGACCCTCATTCACTTAATGAGCCTCCCTCCCCTATTTTTATGCTCTAGGTGAAAACCTCGGAAGGTTGCATGGACAGCACTCAATCCAGTAGGCTGACAATGTCAAGAATCTCAGGGTCTGAAAGATATCAGTACAAGTTTATTGCCTTCAGGTAAGTTTTTCTATTATAGAAGATAATAGTGGTAAATATCTAGAAACCTGAGTTTGCTGCAATTGAGTTCATCCATAATTGATTGTTGACAAATGCAGAGAGTGTAAGTGACTATATACCAGACTAATATCAATTTTCACTGACTTAGTAATTAATCTACAAGATTTGTAAAATATAAATGTATTCAATGTAAGGTGAGAGCTACAGAATTCTTAATTCAGAGATTGCAATCATTTAGATATGTATTTACATGTGAAAATATTCTGCCAGACATTATTTATTCTTTAATAACCTGATGTGAACAAGTTAATTTCTGATGCTCAACAGTACCTTGAGTTTTGGAAGGTATTTTTTTAATGTGGTGAAATATATATAATATTAATTTACATTTTTTAACAATTTTTAAGTGTATAATTCAGTGGTATTAATTACTCACAATGTTGTGCAACCATCATCACATCTACTTCCAAAACTTTTCATTATCCCAATTAGAAACTTTCTAACCATTAAGCAATAATTTTTCCTCTCCTTCCCATTTGTTTCCAACCTTGGGGGCTAATTTATTTTCTGTTTCTATAAACTTGCCTGTTCTAGATATTTCATGTAAATGGAATCAAAAAGTATTTATCTTCTAATGCCTAACTTATTTTACTTATCATAATGTTTACAAGTTTATAAGGTCCAGTCATACTGTAGCATATATCAGAACTCCATCCCATTTTATGGCTGCATAATATTCCATTGCATGTATATACCATATTTTGTTTATCCACTTGTCAAGTGATGGACATTGGGTTGCTCCTATCTTTTACCTATAATGCTGCTATGAACATGGGTGTACAGTGTTGTTATCATTTCAGTTTTTTATTCCTTTGTGTATATAACTTGGAGTGGAATTGTTAGATCATGTAGAAAAATCTCAATTTAGCTTTTTGAGAAATGTCAAACTATTTACCATAGCAAACCTGAAAGCTTTGAAAAACTCAGATTAAAGAAAAAATGTAGAGGAAATATTTCACTATGCCATGAAAATGCCTGAAGGATTTGTGTGCCAGATGGATATGGAGCCCTCACTGGCACAAAGTGACTCTTTCTATCTCTGGATCTCTTTCCTAAGCAATTTCATTAAAGGGTTCACACCTGAGTGACTTCTAGACACAGAGGTGAATTGACTGTGAAGTTAATGAAGATGTGCTACAGAGGCCTTCCCTTGCACTGACTCCTTCCAAGGCCTTAACAAGGGCCCTTACAGTGTGACCTTTTTTTTTTTAAATTTACACAAGTATGATATTTTAACCAAAATCAGTTAATACCACTGCCTCTTTCCTGTACAACTTCCATTCCACCTTTTCTCCCCTTGTGCTGGGTGATGCTGGAGGGCCTGCAGGTATTTTGGAAATCTGGCTAAGGGGGATTTGAGTTGGTGATAGATTGGTTTAGAAGGATGTGTGTGTGTGTGTGTGTGTATTTTCATTGAGTATAGCTAAATTACTACTAGTCATTCCAGTATGGGAATACTTCTGGGAATACTACTTACCGCCCACTGTGGAAACTCACCAACATGATGACCCAAAGTAGATATGAGACTATAATGAGAAATGAGGTGACATGTACAGAAACATAGACTAATCTGTGATAAATTCTTCCAAACATCAAATGTGCAAAATCTCAAATAGAAAACATGTTTTTCATCAATGTTGAACCAAAATGGAAGGCATCTTCCATCAGGATTTATACCTGATAATACAGCATATACAGTTACAAGAGCACCATACATTTTGTTCTTTTTCAATGAAAATTTCACAAAATAGAAATGAATCAATGTCCCTGTTGTCTTAGAGCAATTATCATGCTGTTGTAAATATAGAGGTAGTATCTTTTTAATAGTTTTTATAGCAAAGAAACTTGAAAGTGATTTTTTTCAATTTTGATAATGATCCTAAAAATTTACATGCTATTATTAAGAATGGCTGATAAGATCATGGAAATTTTTGTAAATTATCAATATTATTGTAGTACATAATTGATAATAATTACCAATATTATAAGAATCACATTTTGCTCAGTCACGTGGAAAAGGAGTAATTAAATTATGTTTCTAAAGAAGATATTACAAAATTATTGTTTTAAAAGGGATATTCAAAAAGTACATAGATGAGAAAATAGGGAGTGGGTGTCACAAAGTGGCATCAAGCAGTTCGTGAAACTATCTTTCTGGATCATGTAATATTTGGGGCATTGGTTCATTTTTCACAATTTATTGCTTATGATTTCTTTTCTCATTCTAAATAAACTTTCATTTTCATACCAATTTATGTGTGTGATTTTGTATTATTTTTCTCAAAGAAGGTCTGAACTTTAGATTGTCTCAACTTTAAATTATCTCAACTACTGTCCCCTTGGATCTGCTTCTGCCTCACTACACATTGTGTTTTGCTGCCAGTGTATTATCTTCATCCAATCCCATACTCCTTTCTGTGCTCTCTGGCATGCCAGTATCCCTGTTCTAAGAACAGTGCCTGCACCACATAGTCTTTCAATAACCTAATTTCTCCCTACTCCCCCCATTCCACACTTAACCGGCATCCAGTATCTCCTATTTCCACAGCCTCTTGACCTCACGGAGGTACCACCCTTTCTGTTTGAGTACCTACTGTAGTAGGTACAGTAGTTTTCTGTGGTAGACTGAATATTTATTTCTTTAGTAGCTTCTTTCTTTCTTTAGTAGTTTCCTGTTCTAGACTAAATATTGGCTCTCAAAGACATCTAGGTACTAATCCCTAGAATTTGTGAGTGTTACATTCTATGGCAAAAAAGGATTTTACAGAAGAGATTAAGTTATGCTTCTTGAGATTGGAGATGATTCTGGATTCTCCCAGCCTTTTCTAGACTCCTACTTCATGGGGAAGAATAGGTTGTATCTACTTCTGCCTAATTTTTACCATGCCTGTCTCCAGCTGCTGGAAGAAAAAACTCCTAGCTTTTGAGTCAAGTACATTTCCAAGTACTATGTGCAGAGAGCCAGGCAGGCTAAGAGCTGAAGATGGCTAAGACATGAATACTGCCCTCAGGGAGCTTTGAGACTTGAGTGAGAGGGAGGAAACAAGATACACACATTAATATTTATAATCAAAGTCAGGTACTGTAAAATCCCATAACAAAGTGTGAAGGGCATGCCATTTGGAGAGAGGTCACATTGAAACTGGAACCAAGACAATGTCAGGGAGGAGGGTCCACTTACACGGGTCTGAAGGGGTGAGTTTTCCCAGCGGAGAGTACACTAGTGTTAGCAAGACATTGAGGGGGGAAAAGACTGGAAATAAGGAAATGCAGTTGGAAAGGAGATTTGGGACCATATTTTAGAGTTGGAGTCAGTAAACATTTTCTATAAAGGATCAAATATTATAAAACCTTGTAAGCCACAGCATCTTTGTTACAACTCAGCTCTGCCACTGTGATATAAATGCAGCCTTAATATATAAATGAATGAGTATGGCTGTGTTCCAGTAACGCTTTATTTATATCATAAACAGTGGACCAGAACACCAACCTAAGGAAACTATAGGCCAGGAAAAACCATTGGAGATCTTTGAACAGGAGGGTGACATAATATTACTAGAACTATAAATTTTGAGAAGTAATCAGGCCATAGGATAATGCTAGAATTTGGGCAAGTGGAGTTGAATATGGAAATAACAGCTGGGAGGCTATGATAGTATTTTGGATAAGAAACCTGAGTTAGGGAATTGAGAACAGAAATGAGAAAGCCAAGTTATAGGACATAACAATTTATTGAATGTAGACAGAAATGGAGAGAGTCAAAATAAAAATGGCTTCCAACTTGCAACCTGGAGGCCAGGTGTTTATTGAATGCACACAGAACTAATGAGCAATATCATAAGGGAAACTTGTGGGTTGGAATGTGCTGCCTATGCCCTCGGCATTCTGTGTGGAGTGGTTAGGCTGCAAGTATCAGGTTGCTGAGTGTCATTTGTATATTCCTGAGGCCTTGTGGGACTTGGGCAGATGCCAATGTCACCACTCCCTATCCCCACCCCATCCCAGTGCTTCCAAGAAGCCAGTATCCAATAGTCCTTGATGCTGGCTGTGCTGACGTTTAGAGCAGGGAGGCCTAGGACTCCTGAACTACTACACATCTCAGAGGACAGTCAACACAACACATCTAGCCCCACCAGAGGCAGGTTGAGGTTGTGTCAAGTGACTATGGAAACTGTGCATGTGGCCCAAATTGCTTTCTAATTACATTGCTCTCCAGACAAGACAAAATTGTGCCTCTTGAAAAGCATGTGTGTGGAGACAAGGTAAGTGTAGAGATGGTCAGGCTGCATGGAAATCTGGAGCAAGGAGTCATGTTGCAAAATTCATTACCATCCTGGGAAAGAAGAGCGGGGAGGGAAGGCAGAGAGGAGGCTGTGCTGGACTCATGGAACGTTCTGGACATGTTCTGATGAATAGAGCACATTTAAACCATTTAAACAGAGCAGGTGATTCTGAAAGAAATATGCCATTTCACCATGAAGATCTCATTATTTCTCTCTGGAACTTAATGTAATATCCTCCCAGAAAAATCATCTAAAGATTGGTTTTTTGCCTGTGTCCTATAGCAAACATTCTCCCTACTGTTCTGCATGCTGAGACAATTTAGTTGAAAAGGAGCCACCTTAGAATTTGCCACATTTATGTCTGACAAAGAGGCAGTTTACTCACTAGTTACACACTTTCTTGCTGAGATGCAAACGTTAAGGTTTGGCAGATATTGAAAATGCTATTTTGATATATTACACACTTTCTTGGGAATCTGTTTTAGAAGTGGTACAATAAGAAATGTTCCTAACTTAGAAATATAAATATAATGTTACCACTTGGGGTTATTTATTTTCTAGTCAATCAATCAGGAAATGTTAGGAAATAGATTCAGAGTCATTTCAAAGATGATTTCAGTCAAGTGAATAATCTTTCCATTTTCTTTTCATTTGTTG